CCTGTCAAATTTTTTCAAGACCCCCACATATGATTCAGGGCTATGCACCGTACACCACGTCCGAGTCATTCACCTGTAAACGTGCTGGCTTTTATCCGATTGATGTACGAGGGGTTGGATGCAAAAAGTTGAAGAATCATGAACAATTCGAACGCGGGGAGTTGAACCCCGTCCTGCCCCTAACAAATGTATCATGCATGGCCTTACACAATTCAGGGCTGTGCACCGTATACCACGTCCGAGTTACTCACCTGTAAACGCGCTGGCTTTTATAGCATTGATTCGGTGTAATTCGGCGGGAAAAAAAAGATCCGACACCAGCTATTCGGACGCGAGGAATTGATGGAGAACATTCCATGCGTTCCAAATATCGAGGGCGGTGCAACATACTCAACTTCAGGGTGCTGCGTAAAAAAAAGCGGTAAGATTAAGGCAATATTCGAACGCGGGGAGTCGAACCCCGTCCTGCCTATGAAACATCGTCACCCATGCAGCATAATTCACGGCCGTGCACCATACACCACATCCGAGTTACTCACCTGTAAACATGCTGGGCTTTGTGGGACTGATTAAGTGGAAGGAGAGAAAAAATCAAACTGTCGCAGACTATTCGAACGCGGGGAATCGAACCCCGTTCTACCCTAAGAACATGTTTCATGATTCCTACCCACATATTCAGGGCCGTGCACCGTACACCGCGTCCGAAGTATTTCCCTGTACATGCCCTAGCTTTCATAGGCTGGATTTAGCGTGGTCAGATAAAAAAAAAACTGCAGCAACCTTTTATATTCGGAGGCGGGGAGTCGAACCCCGTCCTGCCCTTCACAACAGTCACGAGCGTTTACAATTAAGGCCTGTGCATCATACACCACGTTCGAGTCGTTCCCTTGTACGCACACAAGCTTTTATAGGATGGATTTAGCGGGATCAAACAAAACAATTGTCACAGACTATTCGGACGCGGGGAGTCGATCCCCTCCTGCCCTAAGAACATGTTTCACGTGTTTAATGTTCAGGGCCGTGCACCTTACACCACGTCTGATGCTTTCATTCCCTTTCGACTTTGGTTTAAGAGGCTAATTCTAAGTCTAGTCATGCTCAACCCATCAGGGAAGACAAAAAAAAAAGCGAACAGGAGACTCCATTCGGACGCGAGGAGTCGAACCCCGTCCTGCCCTATGAAAACCTGCTTCTTAAAGCCCAGATCTCAGGGCCGTGCACCGTACACCACGTCCGAGTCATTCCCCTGTACACACCACAGCTTTTATACGATGGATGTGGCAGGGTTCGAATAAAAAGAAAAGCCAAGTCTCGCAGATTATTCGAACGCGGGGAATCGAACCCCTCCTACCCTCTATGGATTACGCTGTTACCTGATAGAATTCAGGGCCGTGCACCGTACACCACGTCCGATTCCTTGCTTTGTACACGCCCTAGCTTTTATAGGATTGATTTAGTGGAAGGAGAGAAAAATCAAACACGTCTGGACCATTCGGATGCGGGGAGTCGAACACCGTCCTACCCTTGATCAAATCCTATGCACCTAGAATTTAGGGCCGTGCACCGTACACCACGTCCGAGTTATTCACCTGTACACACCGTAGCTTTTATAGGATGGATTTAGCGGGGTCAGAAAAAAATGTCTGACTGAAAACCCCCATTCAAACGCGGGGAGTCGAACCCCGTCCTGCCCAAAGAACATGATGCATGAATTCCTACCCACATATTCAGGGCCGTGCACCGTACACCACGTCCGATTCCTAGCTCTGTACATGCCCCAGCTTTTATAGGATGGATTTAGCTGGTGGCCACAAAAAAAAAAAGATCACAACAACTATTCGAATTCGGACACGGGGAATCGAACCCCGTCGTGCCCTGTCAAATGTCCTGATGTTCGACTCAACATAATTCAGGGCCGTGCACCGTACACCACGTCCGAGTTATTCGCCTGTAAACGTGCTGGCTTTTATCCGATTGATGTACGAGGGGTTGGATGCAAAAAGTTGAAGAATCATGAACAATTCGAACGCGGGGAGTCGAACCCCGTCCTGCCCCTAACAAATGTATCATGCATGGCCTTACACAATTCAGGGCTATGCACCGTACACCACGTCCGAGTTATTTACCTGTAAACAGCCCTCCATTTATAGGATGGATTTAGCAGGGTCAGATTTAAAAAAAACTGCAGCAACCTTTGAATTCGGAGGCGGGGAATCGAACCCTGTTCTACCCTAAGAACATGTTTCATGATTCCTACCCACATATTCAGGGCCGTGCACCGTACACCACGTTCAAGTTATTCCTCTATAACCGCCATAGCTTTTATAGGATGGATTTAGCGGGGTCAGAAAAAAATCACATCGTCAAGAATTATTCGAACGCGAGGAATCGAACCCCGTCCGGCCCAGAGAACATGATGCATGCGCTTAAATATCGAGGGCTATGCACTGTACACCACGTCCGAGTTATTCACCTGTAAACACCCTGGCTTTCGTAGGATGGATTTACGGGGTCAGACAAAAATGTCTGACTGAAAACCCCCATTCGAACGCGGGGAGTCGAACCCCATCCAGCCCTAAGAACATGCTTCACGTGTTTAATGTTCGAGGCCGTGCACAGTACACCACGTCCGATTCCTAGCTCTGTACATGCCCCAGCATTTATAGGATAGACTTAGCTGGTGGCCACAAAAAAAACTGCAGCAACCTTTTGAATTCGGAGGCGGGGAGTCGAACCCCTCCTGCCCTATGAGCAAGCTTCACCAGCACCAAATATTCAGGGCTGTGCACCGTACACCACGTCCGATTCCTTGCTTTGTGCATGCCCTAGCTTTTATAGGATGGATTTAGTAGAAGGAGAGAAAAAATCAAACTGTCACGGACTATTCGGACGCGGGGAGTCGAACCCCATCCTCCTGCCCTTTATGTAAACACCCAAATAGTTCACCAGAGTCTAGGGCCATGCACCATACACCACGTCCGAGTTACTCACCTGTAAACGTGCTGGCTTTTGTAGGCTGGATTTAGCGCGGTCAGATTTAAAGCAGCAACTTTTCGGATTCGGACACAGGGAGTCGAACCCCGTCCTGCCCCTAACAAATGTATCACGCATGACCTCACACAATTCAGGGCCGTGCACCATGCACCACATCCGAGTTATTCCCCTCTAACCGCCATAGCTTTTATAGGATGGATTTAGCTGGTGGCCACAAAAGAATTCTCCAACAACTTTTTGAATTCGGACACGGGGAATTGAACCCCGTCGTGCCCTGTCAAATGTTTTTGTGTTTGACCCCGCATAATTCAGGGCCGTGCACCGTACACCACGTCCGAGTAATTACCTCCTGAACACCATACCTTTTATAGAATGGATTGAGTGGAAGGAGAGAAAAAAGCAAACACGGCTGGATCATTCGAACGCAGGGAATCGAACCCCGTTCTACCCTAAGAACATGTTTCATGATTCCTACCCACATATTCAGGGCCGTGCACCGTACACCACGTCCGAGTTATTTCTCTGTAAACGTGCTAGCTTTTATAGGATGGATTTAGCAGGGTTCAAAAAAAGAAAGCCAGTGGAAGGCTCATTCGAACGCAGGGAGTCGAACCCCGTCCAGCCCTAAGAACAAGTTTCACGCATTTCAAATATTCAGGCCGTGCACCATACACCATGTCGGAGGTATTCCCCTGCGCACGCCCTAGCTTTTATAGGATGGATTTAGCTGGTGGCCACAAAAAAAAATATCCAACAACTTTTTGAATTCGGACACGAGGAGTCGAACCCTGTCCTGCCCTTGATCAATCTTATTCCCTTGGCAAAATTCAGGGCCGTGCACCGTACACCACGTCCGAGTTATTTCTCTGTAAACGTGCTAGCTTTTATAGGATGGATTTAGCGCGGTCAGATTTAAAGCAGCAACTTTTCGGATTCGGACACAGGGAGTCAAACCCCGTCCTGCCCCTAACAAATGTATCACGGATGACCTCACACAGTTCAGGGCCGTGCACCATACACCATGTCCGAGTCATTCCCCTGTAAACGCGCAGGATTTTATAGCATTGATTCCTTGTAGTTGGGTGGGGGGAAAAAAAAAGATCCGACACCAACTATTCGAATGCGAGGAATCGAACCCCGTCGTGCCCTGTCAAATTTTTTCGAGACCCCCACATATGATTCAGGGCTGCGCACCGTACACCACGTCCGAGTTATTCACCTGTAAACACGCTGGGCTTTATAGGCTGGATTCAGCGTGGTCAGATAAAAAAAAAACTGCAGCAACCTTTTGAATTCGGAGGCGGGGAGTCGAACCCCTCCTGCCCTATGAAAATCTGCACTGAACCTGACCAGAGTTCAAGGTCGTGCACCATAAACCACGTCCGATATATTCCTCTGTAAACACGCTGGGCTTTATGGGACTGATTAAGTGGAAGCAGAGAAAAAATCAAACTGTCGCAGACTATTCGGATGCGGGGAGTCGAACCCCGTTCTACCCTAAGAACATGTTTCATGATTCCTACGCACATATTAAGGGCCATGCACCGTACACCACATCCGATGCTTTCATTCCCTGTCGACTTTGGTTTAAGAGGCTAATTCTGAGTCTAATCGTGCTCAACCCATCAGGGAAGACAAAAAAAAGCGAGCTGGAGACTCCATTCGAACACGGGGAATTGAACCCCGTCGTGCCCTGTCAATTTTTTTCGAGACCCCCACATATGATTCAGGGCTATGCACCGTACACTACATCCGATTCCTAGCTCTGTACACACCACAGCTTTTATACGATTGATGTATCAGGGTTCAACAAAAAATGTCTGACTGAAAACCCCATGCGAATGCGGGGAATCGAACCCCGTCGTGCCCTGTCAAATGATTTCCATCCCCAACATTATTCAGGGCTATGCACCATACACCACGTCCGATTCCTTGCTTTGTACACGCCCCAGCTTTATAGGATGGATTTACGGGGTCAGACAAAAAAGTGTCTGAAGGAAGACTTATTCGAACGCGGGGAATCGAACCCCGTCCCGCCCTTTATGTAAACACCCAAATAATTCACCAGAGTCTAGGGCCATGCACCATACACCACGTCCGAGTTATTCACCTGTAAACACCCTGGCCCTCGTAGGATGGATTTAGCAGGGTTCGACAAAAAATGTATGAAGATCTTTCTTCGGACGCGGGGAATCGAACCCGTTCTGTCCTAAGAGATGATTGTGCCGCTATAATATGTAGGGCCGTGCACCATACACCACGTCCGATCCATTCACCTGTACACGCCCCAGCTGTTATATGATGGATTTACGGGGTCAGACAAAAAAGTGTCTGAAGGAAGAATATATTCGAACACGGGGAGTCGAACCCCGTCGTGCCCTGTCAATTTTTTTTCGAGACCCCCACATGATTCAGGGCTATGCACCGTACACCACGTCCGATTTCTCTGTAAACGTGCTAGCTTTTATAGGATGGATTTAGTGGAAGGACAGAAAAAATCAAACACGTCCGGACCATTCGAACCCCGTCCGTGCCCCAAGAGCTGCTTGGCTTGTACTGAATGATCCAGGGCCGTGCACCATTACACCACATCCGAGTTATTGCCCTCTAACCGTCATAGCTTTTATAGGCTGGATTTAGCAGGATTCAAAAAAAGAAAGCCAGTGGAAGGCTCATTCGAACGTGGGGAATCGAACCCCGCCTGCCCTCTATGGATTGCGCTGTGATCGGATAGAATTCAGGGCCGCGCACCGTACACCACGTCCGAGTTATTCATGTGTACACACCCCAGCTTTTATAGCATTGATTCGGTGTAATTGGGCGGGAAAAAAGATCCGACACCAACTATTCGGACGCGAGGAATTGATGGAGAACATTCCATGCGTTCCAAATATCGAGGGCGGTGCAACATACTCAACTTCAGGGTGCTGCGTAAAAAAAGCGGTAAGATTAAGGCAATATTCGAACGCGGGGAGTCGAACCCCGTCCTGCCTATGAAATATCGTCACCCATGCCATAATTCACGGTCGTGCGACGTACACCACGTCCGATTCCCAGCTCTGTAAGCGCCCTGGTCTTGGTAAGATGGATTTAGCGGGGTCATGGGGTCAGACTAAAAGGGCTTGATACAAGACATATTCGAATGCGGGGAATCAAACCCCGTCGTGCCCTGTCAATTTTTTTCTAGCCCCCACATTATTCAGGGCTATGCATCGTACACCACATTCGATTTATTCACCTGTAAACAGTCTTGATGTTGAAGGATGGACTCAGTGGAAGAGAGAGAAAATTCAACATGTCTGACTGAAGACTTCATTCGAACACAGGGAATTGAACCCCGTCGTGCCTTCAGAACATACTGGAGGGTCTTCCTAATATTCAGAGCCGTGCACCATACACCACGTCCGAGTTATCCACCTGTAAACACCGTACCTTGTATAGGATTGATTTAGCGGGGTCAGAAAAAAAGTGTTTGACAGATGAACACAATTCGGACACGGGGAGTCGAACCCCTCCTGCTCTTTATGTAACCCTTCCCTTTACCATAGTCCGGTGCTGTGCACCGTACACCACGTCGGATTATTCCCCTGTACACCCCCGAGCTTTTATCGGATGGATTTAGTGGAAGGATAGAAAAAGGCGACGATGCCGCGACTATTCGAACGCGAGGAACCCCGTCCTGCCCCCAGTTGTAGTACATAGCAAGCAGAACCATGATTGGGGCTATGCGCCGTACATCACGTCCGATCTATTCCATACCCAACGCCCCAGATTTTATACATTGATTCGGTGTAATTGGGTCAGAAAAAAAAAGATCCGACACCAGCTATTCGAACACGGGGAATCGAATCCCGTCCTGCCCTGGAAGATTTTCTGTGTACTATGCATACTCAACCCGCTCAGAGTTCAAGATCATGCACCGTACACCACGTTTGATTCATTCATCCTATTCCGACCTTGGTTTACCAGCCCAATTCTAACTCCAGTCGTGCTGAGCCCAGCAGGTTGACAAAAAAGTGCCGCACACCACGTCCGATTTATTCCACTGTAACACGCCCTGGCTGTTATAGGATGGATTTAGTGTGGTTGGGCGAAAAAACGGTTTCACTACCAACGATTATTCGAACGTGGGGAGTCGAACCCCGTTCTGCCCAAGGAATGTCACATTACTATCCAAATATTCAGGGCCGTGCACCGTACACCACATCCGAGTTATTCACCTGTAAGCGCGCTGGGCTTTATGGGACTGATTAAGTGGAAGGAGAGAAAAAATCAAAACTGTCGCAGACTATTCGAACGCGGGGAGTCGAACCCCGTTCTGCCCAAGGAATGTCACATTACTATCCAAATATTCAGGGCCGTGCATCATACACCACATCCGAGTTACTCACCTGTAAACGCTCTGGGCTTTGTGGGACTGATTAAGTGGAAGGAGAAAAAAAAATCAAACACGTCTGGACCATTCGAACGCGGGGAATCGAACCCTGTCCTGCCCTTCACAACAGTCACGAGTGTTTACAATTAAGGGCTGTGCATCATACACCACGCTCGAGTCGTTCCCTTGTATGCACAGCAGCTTTTATAGGATGGATTTAGCGGGATCAAACAAAATTCAACTGTCACAGACTATTCGGACGTGGGGAGTCGATCCCCTCCTGCCCTAAGAACATGTTTCACGTGTTTAATGTTCAGGGCCGTGCACCTTACACCACGTCTGATGCTTTCATTCCCTTTCGACTTTGGCTTAAGAGGCTAATTCTGAGTGTAATCGTGCTCAACCCATCAGGGAAGACAAAAAAAAAAGCGAACAGGAGACTCCATTCGAACACGGGGAGTCGAACCCCGTCCTGCCCTTGCTCAAAGTTTCGCGACCTAGTAGAATTCAGGGCAGTGCACCGTACACCACGTCCGATTACTTGCTCTGTAAATAGCCCTCCTTATGGGATGGATTTACCAGGGGTTGGATGTAAAAAAAAATTGAAGACTGGGCAGCCAGTCCAACGCGGGGAGTCGAACCCCGTCCTGCCCTTTATGTAAACACCCAAATATTCAGAGTTCAGGGCCATGCACCGTACATCACGTCCGATCTATTTCTCTGTTTCCTTGCTGGCTTTTATACGATGGATTTCGCAGATTTGGACAAAAAGAAGCTTCAGCAAGTATTCGAACGCAGTGAATCGAGCCCCGTCCTGCTCTAAGAATATTCTTCCCAACCTCGAAATATTCAGGACTATGCACCATACGCCACATTCGACGCTTTCATCCTATTTCGACCCGGCTTTACCAGGACGATTTGGAGTCTTTCTCGTCAACTCATGCCATAAAGATCACAAAAGACAAACATGCCGCGTATTCGGACGCGGGGAATTGAACCCCTCCTGCCCTCCACGCAATCAATCTATCCCAGTAGAATTTAGGGCCGTGCACCGTACACCACATCCGAGTTATTTCTCTGTAAACGTGCTGGCTTTTATAGGATTGATCAAGTAGAAGGACAGAAAAAAAGCATCTAGAAGATTTCATTGAATGCGGGGAGTCGAACCCCATCCTGCCCTGACAAATGTACGCCGCATTACCAGGTAGAATTCAGGGCCGGGGAGTCGAACCCCTCCTGCCCAAGGAATGACACATTTCTATCCAAATATTCAGGACCGTGCACCGTACACCACGTCCGAGTTATTCATTCTATTTCAACCGTGGTTTAACAGACCAATTTCGCATCCTGTCGCGCTGAATCAACCCATCTGGGAGGACGAAAAATTGGAAGCAATGCACAGATTCGAACGCGGGGATTCGAACCCCTCCTGCCCTTGACAGCAATATTCTCGGCCTTTAGAGTTCAGGGCCGTGCACCGTATACCACGTTGGACTCCTTACTCTATAAGCATTCTAAGTAGTTTTATCCTGCATTTGGACAGGCGGAAAAAAAAAAAAAAACCAACACCACTGCCAGCAACTATTCGGTATTCTAAGTCAGCTGCACTTTCTACTTACCTACCTGGATTAAAACCTGACGTCCCTCACACAGAGGCGTCGCTCGAGAACTGAAAACTACCTAGATCCGTGCTTTTCTCGAAATTCGCGGCTTCTATTTGTCTTACTTTATGCGTTTCTGTTGCCGTCTATGTACGCGTTTGTCGGAGTTTCAATTCTCCTTCTTCTGCCGTCAACATTCATGGACGACACCGAGCCGAGCCAAATCCGCCGTGTACAGGAACTGTGGTTCGAGGACGGAAATCTTATCATCCAGGCCGGAACTAGCCAGTTCCGTGTGTACCGTGGCGTATTGGCAGCACGTTCCCCAGTATTCCACGACATGCTTTCATTCCCGCAGCCACCAGATGCCGAGCTTGTTGAAGGCTGTCCCCTCGTACACCTCCACGACGCCGCATCGGATGTCAATGTGTTTCTCCGAGCCATCTACGACTCCTCGTGAGCGCCGTATTGTTCCTTTCATTCCCTCCTTCAACTTCAATCTCGTAGATTCTTCATGCCGTATCCAGTCCGAACCGATTTCGACACAATCACTGGTTGTCTCCGTCTAAGCCACAAATACGGAGTCGAATATCTTCAACGCCGTGCTCTCATTCACCTATCATCAGGATATTATACAACGCTCTCAGCCGCAGATGCGAGGGTGGCTAAGGATGTCCCTACGCTGAACGACGTATCATGGAATGACCCTGGCTCCACGGCTTACTGCATCTCGGCCATTGGCCTTGCTCGAGAGGTCAACGCCCTCTGGATCCTGCCGTACGCATTTTATTCCATGTCTGCCGCATTCAAGTCTCTTGGCATGTCCATTTTCCACGGAACAGTTCATAATGGCGCTCGAGCCAGCCTGTCCCTCGAAGATCAACAGGCATTTCTCCACGGGTATCATATCCAAAGGAATAGCACGACCACGGATATTTTGCGGTTTTTATTCCATCCCGCCGATATCCAGGGTTGCATGACCCGGGCACGATGTGTTGAAGCACGATTCCAAGCCTTCGCGGGTACCTGGGACATCGCAGATGATGATTCTTGTATTCCCCTCGATATCTGGACGCCAGTGGACTGGAACATACTGGCAGATGTGTGCCCCACTTGCCTCGTCTT